GAGTCATCGCCACAAACAACATTTGTGGACGAGGCGCCACGCCACCGTATTTGTCATGAATATGTAATACTTACCACAGTATAATACACTCTGTGTTTCCAGTTTTAATATTTTCCATGTCATTTTACTCGAAGTAGAAAAAGTTATAAATCATTATAATAAATGAAACTACTAATAACCGTTCATTAATTCATCACACTGCCTGTCAAATCTACTGTTAAACATAGGCCTCCCCTTCCCCACCAATTATAGTGAGAGCCTCATAGTGAGAGGCTGAGAGGACTTATAGTTGCCACACTTGACAGACAGGATGGGTAACCTTAGTTTTTTTGTTATTTTCATTCAGGAAGTTGCTGCGGCCCATCGACTGTTATCACTTTAATCTTACTATTCTTATTGTTACAACTTCACCGGTGCAACAGTTGTACATACATAAATAAATCATAAAAGTTATTTTGTGGTGTTGACTCTTCTCGACGATTTGACAGCTGCTATCGCTGAACTAAAACACTTTGTTAACCGTTAACTAAATTGCAACTATTGTAATGTTTGTTTGTACGTAAGAAGATACTCTTTACTTTTGAAATAATCTAACGTTTTTCGATTGTGTTCAGTGAGAAATTAGTTTGTAAACATACATTGATATTATTAAGCATACTTATATATAAAATTATAGCATTACTGTGGTTTTATCCATTAACATCTAATAATTTGAAATAGAAAATTCTTTTGTGATTATAAAATGTATAAAAATATTTTGCTACATGTAAAGCATTGAGTAAAAACGACCCATTTCTTCTAGCATCTCATTAAATCATAGGCCTAAAACTCACCTTTTCTAGAGTAAGCCCGTAGTTAATACAGGTTTTAGTATACTTTTTACAAATATAATATTTAAAAAGAAGTGTTTTAAATTTTACATTTAAGTGACATTGTTCTCGCAGACCATGCACGACACCTGTGCCAAAAATATAAAATATGTAAATAATATTCCACTACATTAGTCAAATATTACTATAATAATGTTCAGTCATTTGTGAACTTACCAGTTTTGTGATTTGTTTATTACTAGTGGCGTGAGAAATATCGTAAAGTAAGCGACACGAATATTGAACGCTGGATATTATTTGGTCTTGTATATGGCTTGTATGCGTGTGGTATTCGCACCATACGCAGACACGAAATATCGTCGCTGCCCCATACTACATTTCGTGCGACCAAACAAACAAAAACATTAACTGCGCATCTAATGGTCAGCTCATATAACTCGTGCCGCCTACTTTATCTACTTCTGCGACCTCATTTGCCATATATTCAGTATTAAACCGGTTTTAACTTAGTTTTGTGTTTAAGTAATCTAAAACTCTATTAAATTGAATGTAAACATCGTTGTATAATTTACCACCACTAGTAATAATCATTATATTTAAACTTTTGCAATGTTATAAGATCGTCGCACGTCACTATACTTTCGCAAAACTATTGTGTGTCGTTTCAGATTATATTTACTTATTTTTGCTATATGTAGGTACGTAATAAGTAATTCACTATTATAAAGATATTTATAAAAATCTATTTAAAATATTTCTTTATTAGCATTCATTGTCCACAGTGTGTTTGAAAAATGAATCCATAAATATACTAAAGCACATATTTTATTTTCTAATGCTTTCCAATGGATAGAATTCCTATTTCGACAATATTTAAAAAAAAATTTCAACATTACAATACTATCTACCTATATGAATTTACCTTTAAATACACAATAATTGATTAAGATATACGTATACCTTTCTCGATATAAGCTCGTTCATCTTACATTTATTCTCACCGTGTTACATCTATCTCTGTGATATAATTATCTTTTCGCGAGTCACGTGACAGAGTTTTAAGATTTATTTGTGTCCAATGTTAACTTCTAGACTGATCCTATTGTTTTTCTAATATGTGCCAAAATATTTTTTGATAATTTGTACCGAGCCGAGACTCCTCAGATTAAATTTTAATATTTTAACTATGTATGTATGTTTGCCTTTATGGTTAGTTTTCATAATATTTGATACAATATAATACCAAGTATAAATGGAACTTAAGATAAAATTAAACATAAATACCAATAAGGCCTTACTCATAAAAATCGACGTCAATATAATATGAACTGCTTAAAGTAGCCCTCTCTCTCTCTCTCTCTCTCTCCACTAATTGAAATACAAAGATACTTAAATAGTGATAATTAGATCTTAATTAGATCTTGTCGTGGAGAAATGTTTCAACCCACAAAGACAAAGTTATTCAGATTAAAAAGATAAGAATCATAAGCCCTATTACATCATGTAATGTTAATAATTTTAAAGAAAATTGAATATAGACTTTGGGAAATTTAGGGATTTTTATCCGATTTAGTAATAAACTGAATAAACAGCCTCTGGATTTCTGGATCATTATTTTGGTCAGTTTGTGAGTTGGATCATTTCTGCACAACACGTTTCTGCACAAAAAAAATTTGAACATTACAATACTATCTACCTATATGAATTTACCTTTAAATACACAATAATTGATTAAGATATACGTATACCTTTGTCGATATAAGCTCGTTCATCTTACATTTATTCTCACCGTGTTACATCTATCTCTGTGATATAATTATCTTTTCGCGAGTCACGTGACAGAGTTTTAAGATTTATTTGTGTCCAATGTTAACTTCTAGACTGATCCTATTGTTTTTCAAGTATGTGCCAAAATATTTTTTCATAATTTGTACCGAGCCGAGACTCCTCAGATTAAATGTTAATATTTTAACTATGTATGTATGTTTGCCTTTATTGGTTAGTTTTCATAATATTTGAAACCATATAATACCAAGTATAAATGGAACTTAATATAAACATAAATATCAATAAGGCCTTACTCATAAAAATCGACGTCAATATAATATGAACTGCTTAAAGTTGCTCTCTCTCTCTCTCTCTCTCTCTCCACTTAATTGAAATACAAAGATACTTAAATAGTGATAATTAGATCTTAATTAGATCTTGTCGTGGAGAAATGTTTCAACCCACAAAGACAAAGTTATTCAGATTAAAAAGATAAGAATCATAAGCCCTATTACATCATGTAATGTTAATAATTTTAAAGAAAATTGAATATAGACTTTGGGAAATTTAGGGATTTTTATCCGATTTAGTAATAAACTGAATAAACAGCCTCTGGATTTCTGGATCATTATTTTGGTCAGTTTGTGAGTTGGATCATTTCTGCACAACACGTTCCAATTTAAGTAAGCTATAATCATCATAAGTAAGACCATAAATGAATAAGAAGTACTTTCTTTGGTTTTTGACGAAAACTATACATGACTGAATATAAATTGTTCACCATTCTTGGGCATAAGTTGACTAATAAGAAGAAAAAATTATATAATTTGGCGCTTTTTAAAAAAACTGAATATTTGTAAGTAACGCATTACGTAAATCTCAAAGGTCTGTTACGTGAATAGTAATAATAAAAGTGCACTTTACTGTTTGTGTTAATCTACCTTTGTCGCTTCTTATAAGAATATTATTATGAAATTAAAAATGTTAACCTTATAAAACGGTTATGTACGGAACCTTGATAACCAAAGCTCTTCACTATGTCAGCCTTCCGCACATAATCATTTTGTGTGATTTTATTGCGTATTTCTATGATTAATATTAATAACGTAGTAACAGTATTTCGATTTGTAGTATTAAATTCGTCATTTCAAATGTAAAATCGCCATTTTTAAGGTTTGTGGCGACATCTTTGTCGTTGAGTGCTGTACGGGCCTCTTGTTCGGGGCCCAAGGAATGTTTAGAAAGTTCTTACAGTGGATGTCGATTGTACTCAATAAAATAAATTTCTAAATCATTAGATTCCTCACGTGTATTATTTGTTATTCTATTCCCTAAACAAAAATGACACAGTTAATATGTACAAGGTCACACAACTCACACAATGAAACGCGTGACGTCACTTGTATACAAGAATAGAAAAATTAAACTTCATAAAAAATTCTAATGTATTCCCGGCCAATTTAACTTTAGCTACGTACATAATATACCCACACTTTGATTCACAAGTGTACAAATAAACGTTGCTGCCATAGAATCAAAGCTAGACTACGTAGGTTATTTAATCTGTGGTTAGGCATGAATGCAATCAGAGATGCGAGAATAAACAACACAAGATGATATCTTATATTTACGCGAACACTACTCATTAAATAATACTAGGTTTTTCACGGATTTTATCAGGCTTAATTGACTAATTTAATTTGGCGACGTTTCGAGTACTTTGTAGCACCCATGGTCACGGGGGGAACTGAGGTGTTTAATGTCCAAAACCCAATGACACGGTTAACTTCAACTTATAAATTTTGGTCCAATCTACGCAGAAAAACTTATAATCATCTTGAAGTCTTGCAGTGGTACGCTTGGGTTATGATTTGCTTTTATAGGATAAAAAGCAGATGGTAGCACTCAGACATCTTCGGTTTTGAAACTTGGATGTACTTGATTTCAATATCATCCTTGGTAGGAATTAATATTCTTTTGCGAGGATTTGTGGTTTATCAAATCTAATGTAATGGTAGAGACGATCCTAAACATGTTCACAAACTGCGACTTCTCGGAGCGTCGTTCCTTCACATTTAAAACGGAATTTCACCACCATCCTTCACAGTTAGCAACTGTGGGAAAATCTTCGCTTCAGAGAGCACGAGGGATCTATGACAGTAAACACCTGACCGTCGAGCTCCAGCTCGTCAAAATAATTTTCGTCGTACCTTAATTACCTGATGAATTGTATGAAACCATTGAAATTAAAAAAAAAGTTAAAATAAGTAAGTACTTCCGATGTTTTATGCAACGCATATGGTTGCAACAATAACAAGAAAAATACATTAAAATATCGATAGCAGTCAATAGTTCGGTTCAAAATATTTCAAGCTTGAAATTCTGGGTTAAATATAAAACATTTTATAATTTAATCTCGCTTTCTCCCTTCATGATTTGACTCAACATTTGGTTACAAAGGGCTGCGTATGGGTTCATTTCGACGACCTGGAAATTTAAAACAGGGTTATTGCTATTTATGTTTGGTAGACAGGTGTTTTACTGTTTTATATCTAGCAACACAAGATGCTTAAACCAAACCATCTGACAAAATGACCATGCACCTGAAATAACGTGCATTTTTTGGTAATGAGGGCATCCATGACTTTTTCTGCCACCAGGGCGGCGCCACTAGAAAGTGAGATATAATATTTGACAGATTTCATACCAGAGAAGCTAATTTGTTCGAAAAAGTAAAAATAAATAAACTAAACCACAGATATTCATAAAAGTAGCAAAATTAAAAAAAAGTTATTAATGTGCAAAAAATTAAAGACCAAACCACTGACGGATTGTTTTGTGTATGTAATACTCTAGAAACTGATAAACTTTTATTAATAATCAACTTCTCAATTAAATGACATTGTGTAACAAAAAACTTTACCTCAGTGTCAACTAGCGACATCTAGTGAGCAGAAAATGATTAGTCCTCATTCCATCAGTCGACACTTACGACACCCTCATTACATACACACATTTTTTTAAACTGATGTGACAATCGAACTTACAGCCCATGTACATGTACACCAGCAACAGAGTTGAAACAAGAGGCTACAGATACGTTGTCACTTCCGAGGACTGAGATGGAATGGGTCTGTTAGTGTGTGTGTGTAATAGTTATTACACACACACTAGCCAGCATAGTTTGCTGGCTCTCTGTAGTAGCTCCTTGAGAAATAGGTAAGAGAGTGATACCCACCCAGAGGGACTAACAGGCAGTAAAGTAATCCTACCACCTAAACATACACAAGGCAACCAAATTGATAATTTTTTTATTAATTATTCATCATCACCTTGTAAAAATCTGCTGGACACAGGCCTCGCCCATTGCGGGGAGGATGTGCCTGAATGCACGTGGTAGAGCCAAGCTGCTGAATATTATAGGTAGAGTTGTAGCACGAATGGATCGGCTCGACCGGGGAAGGACCATGATCTCACAGACCAGCGTAAAATAGCAGCTGAACGCTGCTGTGTTTCGTATGGTGAGTGTAGAGAACCGGAGACCCTATTTACTGGAAACGAAGCATTCCATCTTAGTCCACACGGGTGACAACGCATCTGCATTTTGTTCGTAGTTGAGGATGGATGTAGATGTCCATGGGCCACAGGAACCACTTACCATCGGGTGAACTATGTGCTCGTCTGTCAAACAAAAAGGAATCGTCACGCTTGGAAGGAGGTATGACGACCGCAGTACCACTAAAACTCAAAAATGTCTCCACCGATTTTGATAAATTTTTTGTGTGTGTTTGAATGGGTCCCTAGATGGTTTAGATTTACATTTGGATCCGGTAGGTGGCGCTGTTGTCGAGATCCAGAAATCACCCATGCGAAACCTGGGCGGATCGCTAGTTTAAACTAAATGTAAGTAAGCCCATTTGTCATTCACGTTTCTATTTAAAAAATTGCTACTGATATTGATACCGTATACTTACCAGTCCGTTGGCAGTGACGACGTACGGAACGAGAGATAATCTTTAACTTCTGACCGTATGAGGAAGCTCATACCGACCGGACTATGAATGATGGCTAATAATTTTCTGCTCACCAGATGTCGCTAGTTTACACTGAGGTAAAGTTTTTTGTTACACAGTGTAATTTAATTGAGAAGTTAGTATTTAATAAAAGTTTATCAGTTTCTAGAATTTAAATTAATACACAAAACATTGCGTCAGTGGTTTGCTCTTTTTTTTGCACTTTTTTAACTTTCTTTAATTTTTTTTCTACTTTTATGAATATCTGTAGTTTGGTTTATTTATTTTTAATCTTATTAATATAAAATATAGCTAATAGTGCAGAAAGAAACAATAACCTTTACATTTTCCGAACAATATAACTTCCCCGCTATGAAATCTGTCAAATATTATACCTCACTTACTAGTAGCGCCGCCCTGGTGGCAGAAAAATTCGTAGATTCCCTCATTAGAGGACTATACTTACAGCTTACCTGGGTAATATAATCTATATTGAGAATATCTTTTTTTATATAGGATAAGGGTGACAAACGAGCACACAGTCCACCTGATGGTAAGTGGTTGCTGTGGCCCATAGAAATCTACATCTATCTTCAATTACGAATCAAAATGCAGATGCGTTGTCAGCCGTTTCCAGTAAAAAGGGTCTCCGGTTCTCTACACTCACCATACGAAACACAGCAGCGTTAAGCTGCTATTTTAGGCTGGTATTCTGTGAGAGCGTGGTCCTACCTCGGTCGAGCCGACCCATTCGTGCTACAACCATAATATAGCTGCAGCATATCTCTACCACGTATAAAGTATATCTGCAGTGGAAACAGAGCAACCTAACGGGGCAGTGAGGCCACAGGACCAGCCACATATTTCAAGAAACTGTTAACTAACTTATAAAAAAGAAAGGTTTTTGAGTGACAGCCACATAAGGTCAGTGTCCAAAAAATGTTAAAATCTTGATTCCAACTCACCTGTTTCTTAGCAAAACTACTTCCTAATTTAGCAGCCTCAGTAAAAGAAGTACGCGCGTCCTCATCGGAGCCACGCTTGCGTAGGAGCACACCGCGTTGACAAAGTGCTAAAGCCCTAGCGCGGGTCCTCTTGCCCTCAGTCAGTTGTAGAGCACGCTCCAGATCCGACATAGCTTCTGAAAAGAAAATAGCGGGATTGAATATTTTAAAACATCGAAGAATTTGATTGACCTCAATACGTCGTTTTATCTACCGACTTCAAAAAGGAGCCCATACTCAATTCGACTGTATGTTTTTTTATGTGTGTTACCTCATAACTTTTTACTGGGAGAACCGATTTCGATGATTCTTTTTTTGTTTGATAGCTTTGACCTTTTTCCGACCTTTGATCGACTTTGATGATTTTTATTTGAAAGCTAGTGCTTCACATATGGTCCCATATATATTATATATAATTTGATCAAGGTCTGACCAATAGTTTTGAGTTATTCTTAATCATTTATATTGAAGTCGGTTGTACAAAATTTTTAATTTTAAGTTATATTTATACTTTTAACATTCATTATTAATTTCCGTCCATTGATCCATCTATTTCTGCCTATAAGAGTCCACTGCTGAACATAGGCCTCCTCCATAGATGGCCTCATAAGGGAGACTTTGCCATAGTTGGCAACCGCAGTTTTTTTATCATTGTTGTTATCAGGAAGATGCTGTTGCCCATCTCTTCTTCATTTACACTCTGTCGCCTCTTGCGACACCCACGGTCATTAAATATTACGCATATTAAATATACCTATAATGCATATTATTTTTTACTACATTTAGTTGTCATCGAGTAAAGGGGAAAACACTGCAGCCAGTAATACCATTTTCAACTAATAAAACTTTTATACATGGTAGAGCCGTGCTGCAGCTATATTATAGTTGTAGGATAGAGAACCGGAGACCCTTTTTACTGGAAACGAGGCATTCCATCTCAGTCCTCATGGGTGACAACGCATCTGCATTTTGTTTGTAGTTGAGGATGGATGTAGATGTCCATAGGCCACAGCAACCACTTACTATCAGGTGGACTGTGTGCTCGTTTGTCACCCTTATCCTATAAAAAAATATATATTAGGGCTGTCATCATCAAAAACGCCAATGCCGTGCAAACACTTGGATCACAACACAAAGATGCGGGGGGAGTCGCATCCCTATGAGGTAATCTAGACATACCACGCATTCGAAACAAGCGGTTTGCTTTATCGTCGAAAGAGTGCAATAAATTACCTTTGTCTTCCACTCCCCTTATAACTTGGGTGTCTTCAAAGCAAGAGTTAATAGTTTTTGGTCAAGTTAAGTTCAGTTTGCCATTTAGTGTTACATCATCAGATGGTATAACAGTAAAATAATTATAACTTTTAACTATAAGTAAAAACTTTAGGGGTAGAATTTTTTCTCCAAATTAATATGAGCCGACACTTGAAATATAATCTATTTATTAAAAAAATAATTATTAAAGTCGGTTCTCAATCTGAGAAGATAACATGTGAAATTCCTTAAACAATAGTCCGCTTTTTCCCTTATTTTCCACCCTTTTTTATTCAAAATACTTTCTTTCAAAACCCTTCAGGTAAAGCCTATTTAATAAAAAAGAATCATTAAAATCGATCCACAATCTACAAAGATATTACGTAACATACATATAAAAAAAAATATACACTCGAGTTGAGAACCTCCTCCTTTTTGAAGTCGGTTAATAAAAAAATAATTACACTGGCTATTGTTTTTGAACCACACCCTTCGTTTTTTTCCTCTAGGTCTAGTACCTACTTATTAGGTGGTAAAATCGAAGCTGCCCGGAGTCAGGAAGCTGGCGTTGTCTCACCCTCGTGCCTCGGAAAGTACGTAAAGCCGTTGGTCCTGCGCCTGATCTCCCTCCGGTCGTGTCGGATTACCGTCGCATCGGACTATGAGAGTAAGGAAATTGAGAGTGCACCTGTGCTTGCGCATACACTTGGGCACTATAATCCTGTCATGTGCAGTTGGCTAGTCTCCGTTGAGACTGGCCGCCGTGACCGAAAATCGGTCTGGAGGATATTATTATTATTATTATTATTATTAGGTGGTAGGACTCATTTGACACTTCAGCCATCTGTCTGGGTAGATGACACTCTCTTATCTATTTCTGCAATAGGAGTGCTTTATACTGCAGTTCCGGTGTGAAGGGTATAGCCAGTGTAATTGTAGGCTAGGAGCCATCTGTTTCTTTGAAGTTAACTGCAGGTGCCCATTGACAGCAGGAGCTACTTGCCATCAGGTCAGGTAGACTGTAAGTTCGTTTATCACTTCAGCTTTATAAAAAAAAAACTATTTACATATTATATTAATGAAAACATTACCACTATCTTTTAACATAAGTCGCAGCAACTGCGCCCGATCGTTATACGCGGCAGCTCTCTCAGGAGTCGCTTCAACTGCTTTGTTCATCAGATCTAATGCTTCCTCCAGTTTACCAGCCTCTGCTAACTGCATACCACGCAGGCTCAAAGATTTCGATTCCTTGTATGCTGGTGTAGAAGGCTCTGACAGTTCAAAATATTAAAACTGAACTAAATTAGATAATATAACCATTATTAATATTTATTGAGATTAATTAGTATTTAGGGTATTTATATAGTATTCCCATCTGGTTGTCATTTATAATATAGATTGTAACCATTGATTACTATTAAAAAACTAGATACACAATCCCATGCAAAAGTTCTCTAAAAACAGTCGCCAATTGTTTTGACGTAATTCTAGTTAATTTTTGCATTGCCTAAAGTTGTATTCACAAAGCTACGTACAAATTAAAAGCGCACCCAAATGTTCGAGAGGGCGCTCATTCGATAAGGACATTTTTTTATTAGTGATAGGAAACGCTCGACCGGGGAAGACACGCTCTCACAGAATAACAGCGTAAGATAGCAGCATAACATAATGCTGCTATCTTACGCTGTTAAATAAGAGTATATAACTATAAATAAATTATAAACTCTCTAAATACAACTCTTAAATTACACCCTAATAAAATAGTTCTATTTGTGATTTTTTTCCGGGAACAAATGGTTCACACACACAACTTTGAACTGGCAGAGTTACGTACGCAGCAGATATTGCTACGTAGTAAATATGAAACACTGGGTGAGAGATTGACCAGTGTATTCAGTAAGCTGAAGTGGCAATGGCCCGGCCATACAGCTCGAAAAATTCATAACCGATGGAAAAACAAGTTTCTCGAGTGGCAGCCTCGTACCGGTACACAAATTGTTGGACTATCTCCAATTAGTTGGTGTGAAGACCTGATGAAACATTCAGGGAGTCAATCAGGACCGCGATTTATAGCATTCACTGGGGGAGACCTATGTTCAGAAGTAAGATACGCTGCAGCTATTATAGTTGACCACCTCGTTGGTCTAGTGACCGTAAGCGTGACTGCCAATCATGAGGTCACGGGTTTGAATCCCAGTCCAGGCCAAAATCATTTATTAGGATTTTCTGTGTAGAAACTCCCGCGTCTTGAAAAGCACGTAAAGCCGTTGGTACTGCGCCGGATATCTCTCCGATCGTTACAGATTGCCGTACCTTCTGTGAACTTCTGTGAACACTCTTGTGAGCTATAATCGTGCACAAATGGCTAGTCTCCGTTGAGATATGGTGATTTAGTCTGGAGGACATTATTATTATGTCTAGATGTGGCCTTGCTAAGGGCTATAATGATGAGAACAATGACGTTAGATAACTTTTCTATTCACTAACCTACGAGATAATCCCGTGCCAAATGATCATCGTTCATTATTATCAGTGCTATAATGCGACTACATATTTATAGGGGTCTAAGTGAAGGTCCAGTGAGTGATGAAACCGGGGGCTTTTTTTACAGGTTACAAGCTAACGAAGTATGTTTATCTTCGACTTTTAGGTATTGTTACCCTGGATCGCATCTAGATTCTTCATCGAGTATATCTGTAGGTTATATTGGATCACAAAAATGTAAAATAAAATACCATCAGGTGAACTGTGTGCTCGTTTGTCACCATTATTTCTTTGAAAATACTCTCAGGTATTCACATCTCGAAAACCAATTGACACAGTATTTTTGTGGCGCACTTATTGCTGCAGCAATTTACTGTTGCCAGTTTTCGATCGCCGGTTTTTCCTAAGTGGAGACCTTAAAGAAAGTAACCTATTCTTTTCTAGAAGGCCGGCAACGCAGCTGCAAGATCTCTGGTGTTGCAGGTCACTTAGGTACCATCAAATGAGCCATATGCTCGTTAACCTTCTCCTTTTCCTTAAAAAATATTTATAGGCCGATTATATTCATCCAGGGCGCATTTCTAAACACGTTCCATATAATACATAAGTCGCGCACAGGCTTTCCAATGATCCGCTCGCTTCTATCGACACGTGACGTCATAAAGCCACCAGTAAACACGCAGGTTGTTATAGAATTTAAAAATAAGTAGGTACCTGATTCGTCTTCTTGAAATTTATCGCCCTCGTCCACAACATCACCTATAGTCGCCGTAGGATCGAATATACTTCGCAGAACAGCCCTGTCCCTCTCACTTAGGTTTTCTAGCCCAGCCATTGCGATTTAATAACTATGTTGGAACCTAGTCAACAGGTACGGCGCTTATATCACACTGAAGCAAGATCATTCGCATAACACGTTCTTCGAGTCACCTGTTTGTTGTTAATCTCGTATCTAATTTACATGTTTTAATAAACATCAAAATATAATATTATTAAGTTGCGCAATAAGTTTCATTCTTCAAGGAACCTCAAAAGCCTTTAGTAGGTACACTCATCCAAATGCTTAAAAATCGTAGATGTAAAATAAAAATGTCTGCCACTTAATATTGTGTTTCTCTCTTGACAATTTCGTCAGTAAGCGTTCAATAGCGACCACTGTCCAACATTACAAAAATTATATAGACACCGGCACAATTAGCGGAACACAAAAAAGCAGGATTTTAAAATCTTTTACTTGAGGAACTGGCCAGTTATGATATTTTTTTAATTTATTGTCAAATTTGAAAATAGAAAATTAGATGACATACACTTTTTTCATTCATTTGTTTTATTTTCCCGAACAATACGTTTTGTCAACTTGTTCGAGTAATAACTACGTAATTGTAATTTTTTTGAAAAATTGCACTTAATAGTTTTTTATAAATTTGTTATTCTATAGGCAATTTTGTTTATTAAAAGCTCTTTATTATGCCTGACTTAACATCACTGGAAATCATTAGGGCTGATGAAATGAGAAGAAATGGCCATACCTACAGATCGATTGCCTCAAGGCTTCGTCGACCAGTATCAACGATTCATCGCAGCATCCAGCGGTACAGATCGTCTAATTCTCTTGTGAGGAGGAAGGGTCAAGGTAGAAAAAGATGTACATCGAGGCGAGATGACAATTTTTTACAACTTGGAGTTCGTAGGAATACGCGATTAACGGCTGTACAAGCTCGAAATGAACTGGAAGACGTTCGAGGAGTACGAGTAAGTGAGCGTACAGTTCGCAGGAGATTTGAAGAAGTTGGTTTAGGGTCGTATATACCTGCCAAAGGCCCAAAACTTGAGAGACGTCACCGCGTAAACCGATTAAGTTATGCGCGAGAACATCGTCATTGGGATTTGAACGAATGGCAGCAGGTTCTCTTTACTGATGAGTGCAGAGTTCTTTTAAAACAGATCGATGGGAGACAGCGAATATGGAGACGCAAAGGAGGACGCCACATACAGTTTAATTTTGAACACACAGTGGCTTATGGTGGCGGCTCGATTATGGTTTGGGGAGGGATATGTTTGGGAGTTCGCACGGAGTTAATGATAGTCACAGGAGGGACCATGACAGCAGATCGATACATCAGAGACATTTTAAAAGAACATGTTGTACCATTTGCCCCATTTATTGGTGACGACTTTATTCTAATGCAAGATAATGCTCGTGCTCATAGTGCACAATCGGTACAGGCATATCTGAGCCACGTAGGTATACCGGTGATGTAGTGGCCAACAAATTCCCCCGATATGAATCCGATAGAGCATGTCTGGGACTTGCTAAAAAGAAGGGTTAAATCCAGAATGTGGCATCCCCCAACAATATGAATGAACTTGGAAACGCATTACTTGAGGAGTGGGAGCGGTTGCCTCAAGAAATCATCGATAACATAATCTGTAGCATGCCCAGACGAATGGAAACCGTAATCAGAGCAAGAGGGGGAAACACTCGTTATTAATTTTGCTTTAATTTTATTGTTAAATCATTTAATGCTTACTTTTTTTATTTTTTGTGATGGTTCATAATCATCTAAAAATTTCACTTATTTCAAATTTATTTATTTTTCAATAAAAAATAACGAAGACTTTTCAAAGTCGTTGTTAAAAGATGTTAATCAATTTGTTATTTTGTGTCTAATTACATTTTCGTCAAATATATGCGTTATTATCTCATAGTCTCACTTTTTTTTCTGTTCCGCTAATTGTGCCGGTGTGTATAATACGGCTTTACAAAAACACTAGTGGTACGGCAGACAAGACTACGTGGAGTTGAAACGTGCTGATTCGGTTTTAGTACAGATTCGATCTATCTTATCTACAAAGTCAGGTTGCTCTATAAACTCTTCTATGATAGTGGTAAATGAAACAATGTAATGTGAATTGTTATAATTTTGTTTACTTAAAAAAATTTACTGCTCTCCATTGCAATTCAATTCGTTGTGTATGAGTCCCATCTTTAGCCACGAATGAATACTATGACGTATGACCGAATTTGCCTTAGTCGCTTCTAGGATCAACTAGGCAAAGCGGCAAAGCCCGAAACAGAGTATTTTACTTTCGACGTTTGACTAAAAAGTTGAGTACTTTTAGGTTTGACTAAATGTACTTCAGTCAAAGGCCGAAGTCGGAATTTATTTCGGGTTTTGCCGAAAGGCCTTGGTCAAACCTAGGATAAACCAGTGATGCCGGGAAGAGACTGCATATCGACATTTGACTATGGCATATACACTAACTTGCAGTGCGGTTCTACGGAACTGTAGGTACACAAAACCTAACCGTATACAAAGTGCACACGATATAAAAAGTTAAAGCCTATATACTTGCTGGGCACAGGCCTCCCTCATTTCTGAGAGGGTTTTAGGGCAAGGAAACGTCCGCCACGCTGCCCCAATGCGTGTTGGCGAACTTCACGTCTTCGAATTTTTTTTATTTCTTAGACATACAAGTTTCCTCACGATATTTTCCTTCACCGCCGAGCACGTGGTAAATCAGCACTTAAAATTGCAATTAACAATTTCGTTGGTGCTGCCGGGGATAGAACCCGAGTCGCTCGCGTACTGTGAAATTTACAGCGAGCGCTAACCATCTGAGCTACCACGGCTCTGTACTGTACACGATGTAATAGGATTGTCAATTCAAACCAACCTATATCGTATGCAACGTACCGTTAGTGTATTAATTCCACTGCTGAACTTAGACCTCCCCCATAGATTGCCTCATATTTGCCATAGTTGCAACGCTTTACAGTCGGATGTGCAACCGCAGTTTTTTTTATTTGTAGTTAGGAAGACGCTGCTGCCAATCTCTTGGTTTGATTCCCTCTGTCGCTTCTTACGAAACTCGTGGGTATACGGGGTATGTGTGGTATATTATACGGGACGTTATGTGGTAATGGATATTCTTACACTGCCACTATACGGCTTTGTATTAATACGTAATACTGTAAAGTATAAATTACACATATATTGATATATGATACTGTAAATTATACGATAAAATGGGAGGTAGGCTTCGAGGCAGTTTTACAAAAAAGCATTATTGACATTTATAGATACGTAAAACAACTCAGTCATTCAACCACAGAACACTATTACGCTGCATTCAACGAGGAAACACAGGCAGTATTCTTGGTGGCTCTGTACCGCAGGGAGTAGGACTGTTTGATAATTTAAGTTTTTTTTGTATTATGATAATAAATAAATATTTTATATTTTAATGTTATGTAAATAAATTTTAAACTGTTAGTGTTGCTTAAATTTCGGCTCCTTACTAGGACTTCTAAAACAACCAAAACATAATTATGTAAAGTTAAGAACAAAGGACAATGTCCAGATTCGGCCTGTGTAATAAAAGCATCGGACATACACGATAATTAATTTTCTATTCTATTATATTAATTGCAAATACTTTTATAACATGGACTAGCTGCATGCAAAAATGAACATATTTCTCAGTATTCTTCTCGACTAATAACATTAATCGCCGCCATCTTTGTCAAACATCATGTGTTGTCGAAAAATGATGCACAATCGATTGTAATCCACTTTTGAATTTTTAATGAACTGTTGCAATTTTTTTTTATTCTGAATTACATTTTGAATTTATTTCGAATAAAGTTGCAAAAAGAAGCTACAATAAAAACATTAAATTACTATTTCTTTATATTCTTTTATTTATTCCCTAAAAGTATAATTTAAAAACCTACTATACCTAATGAATGAGGTCATACTCGATTTTGAATAGTTAGAATAATACTGAAGAAAAATATTCGTAAAATATATGTTTTCGATCAATTGCGACATTCTCTGTGTCTATATTAGGCACGTTTGATACATGCCTAATATATACACAGAACATTATTGAAAAACAATCATACTCATGAGCTGATGTAGCCATAATGGTCTCTTTCAATGAAAATCTATTGTGATTATTGGTACAGCCTTAAGGATGTGGGTAGTGGCTCTCTTCTGCCGCCTCTTCACGACGTTTACATACTGATCAACACTATTATTATTGATATTAGTTTATTATTAACTAAACTTTATTATTACTATTACTTATGGTAACTAATTGATGATTTAAATTTTCTGTCGATATAGTCGTCTCTCTGCCCACACACTGTTCTACTCGCGCAATTAATCACCACGCTCCGAACTCCGCAAGCAACCGCATTTACAACACAATGGATGTTGAAACTGTGGCAGCGTGCGCACAATATGCATATTTAGTATAGCTAATTATATCAATGTCTAAAGATCAAGTTGTTATCACTAGTGTAACTTCGCTCGGTTTTCGGGTAATTACACGTGGACCCATTAATGGGTCGACCCACTGGCACACGGGTAGACACTGAAATATTTCTGATATAATAGAACAATGTCAGTACTAGTTGATAGGCGGCCTACGAGTCCGTTCCGGTAGCCACCTCCTTCTTACCTTCTTGTGCTGCCAAGCAGCTGTTCCTGCATTGCTATGTAACGGTCTGGAGGGTAAATAAACTCAGTATAGTTACAAGCAGTAAGGCGTTCTATCTTGGTCCTCAGGGGTGACCAAGCATCTGATGTCCATCGGCTGCTGAAACCACTCTTCAGATGGATTGTAAATTCTGCTGTCACTTCTATATTTTAAAAAGCATATGTATAACTTAAAATATTACAAATTTAGAGCTCACGGAAATCTTAATAAATATAATTCTTCTGTAGGTACGTGTGTTTGTCACTGATCTCGTCCTAAACGGCTGGACCGATTTTGACGAAATTTTTTGTGTTTATGTGGGCCCCTGGATGGTTTAGATAGTTTGGA